GTCGGGGGAGGAGGGAGGGGGACCGGGTCCGTCCACGCCCCTCTGCGGGAGCCACTCCCTGAGAGCCAGGCCAGTTCGTACCCGGGGCCCCCCCCGACTTCCCGCAGCTGCACCTGTGGGTGCTCCGGGCGGGACCCTTTGCGAAGCCCAGGGAGGGGCGGAAGCATGTCTGATTTCATTTGGGCACCAAAGCATCCGGCCAGCCGGCCGCCTTTACCTGTGCTGAGGGTGGAGGGGAGGAGGGGGCTCTGGCTACCGAGGGCGCCCAGCCGTGTGCTTCGCTTCTGCAAGAGAAACCGCCACATTAGCGCTCAGATGGCACGACCGCCATGCCAGCCGGGGCACAGCCTCGCGGGGCCCTGGACTTTGGGGTGACACTCCCATCGGAGCCCGAGGACAAAGAGCTTGTGGGTCGCAGCTGTTAAAAACAGAAAGGGGAAGGGTGTAGCTCAGGGGTAGAGCACGTGCTTAGCACGCACGAGGTCCTGGGTTCAATCCCCAGCACCTTCTCTAAAACTAAATACACCTAATTACCTCCCCCCACCAAAAAAATTTTGAAAAAAATCAAAAAACAAAAAGAGAAGCATCCAGATGTATTTCTGACCACACCAGGATCCCAGCAGAGCCTTGTTTTTCACACAGGAGACACCCCAATAAAGTCTTAGGGAAGAAGCACCAGGCAGGTCTGGAAACACTGGTCCAGGGGGCCCACGTGCCGGGGGGACGTCCCCCTGTCCCCGCACACTCTTCAGCCAGAGGATGGGGAAGGCTTTCTGAGCCAGAGCCCGTGTTTTGCACGTGGGTCTTTAAAACTCAGAAAAGCGTGGAAGATGGGTGAGTCTCAGGAAGTCGAGCCTCAGTGAAGACACTATACGAGGTCAGAAGACGCTGGTGAACGGTCGAGCCAGGATGGGGATGCGGGCTCCGCGGAGCGCGGTGCGGTGCAGGGCCCCGCAAGCGCGAGGCGTGAGCGGGGCCACGGCCTTACCCTCCAGGCGTGGCCTTCCTCCAGGGCTGCGCTCTGGGCCTCGGCCGGGTTCTCGATCACTCTCCCCGTCTGCCCAGAAAAATCCATGGCCACGAGGGAGTTCTCCGAGACGCTGCGCTGGAAAGGAAAGGCCGCAGGTTCTTAATGTGGCGGGAAAGGAGCCGCGCAGGACGTGGGATCTCCACGGGGAGGAGGCGTGAGGACCCTGCAAGGGCGCGAGGGGACAGGCCAGCCCCCACCTCCCAACTCCCCGAGGATCTGGAGCTAAAAATGGCTTTGGTTTTTCCTAAGAAGTTCCGATCCTCTCCAGGGATTCAAACGCTGCTGGGGGGCTCTGGTGCCCCCAGGATCTGGACCGTGTACCCCTCCACATGTTCCCTAACGTGTGTTGCAAACAGAAGCATCGAAGGTGAGCCTGTTTTCAGCAGCAGCCAAGTCCCTCCCTCGGGTTAAGTCAGTTCAGGAAAGAAACATGCAGACTCTTTCTGCAGGATAACATTTTTTTTTCTCTTTTCCCCAAGAAACCACCAAGCTATTTCTACAGTGGCTGCAGCATTTTGCATTCCTGCTGGCAATTTAGAAGACTTTTCAGTTTCTCTGCATCCTTGTCAGCATTTTGAATTACAAGGCATTTATTTTTATTTTAATTTTTAAAAATCATTCTTAAAAAATTTTTTTCCTTCCAGGTTTATTTAGGTATATTTGATACACTGCACTGTCTATGTTTTTTTGGGGGGGAGGTAATCAGGTTTTATTTATTTTTAATGGAGGTGCTGGGGATTGAGCCCAGGGTGTCGCGCATGCCAAGCATGCTCTAATTTTGTATTTTATTTGTTTCCAGGCTTCTGTGTTTTGTTTTAATGGAGGTACTGGGGATTGAGCCCAGGACCCCGTGCTTGCTTGGCACGCCCTCTACCACTGAGCTATATCCTCCCCCACCCCCACCCCCCCGGCAGAATAATTTGACATCTCCCAGGAGTGGATGCAGAATCTTTAAGATCCCATTTTGAGAGGATGGAGTGTATGTTTTTGCACTTCTGGGAAGGAAAGTGCAACCTGAGAACACAAGAAGACTGGCTATCATCTCTCAGTTCTCGCAGGGAAGGACCCCAGGGGAACGGTCCACAGCACCACGGATGCCACGGCCGAAGGGGACGGAGCCACGGTGGGAGGGGCAGCCTCTCAGTACAGCTGAGACATCTCTGGGCTCTTGAATACAGCTCGTAAACGGAGCCACCTCGGGACACAAGCCCGAGGGGAGATGCAGGCAAGGGGAGAAGGGAGGCGGAGGAATTCGCTCCAGCAAGACCCACCTGCTGGGAAACGCAAGGCAGTGGGATGTGCGGGCCTCTCCGGGACGCACAGGCGCTCCTGGCGCCCCGGCTGGGAAGGACCGGGACTTGGGGGACGGCAGCTCGACTTACCACCGGCGTGGAGAACGGGGACGGCGCGGGCTTCCTCTGCTGCGGGACGCGGTAGTTCTCGTACAGGAGCACCCCGTACTGCAGGGAAGGGGAGGCCGGCGTCGGTCACGGGGCTCGCGGAGCTCTCAGAGCCCCAGAACGTGGCAGAGCCACGGCGCCCAAGAGCCACGCGGACACAGAAGAGCAGGCACCCCCCTGCCAAGAGCCCCCTGAGCTCAAGGACCGTGACGGCCCATAACCACCAGCCCAGGCGCCTCGCTGAGTTCTCATCCTTCTGGTACCAACGCACCGATGAACTGGTCCTTCTGGTGAGTGACGGATGCCAAGGGTGGTCTTGGGGGCCTGAGTCACCTGTGTGCTTATACACATATTTTTTCCCTTCTTTGGTCTTAATTTGACCATCTTTTCTTTTTTAAAGAATTCAACAATTCTATCTTTATTGTTTAATTTCTTAAAATTTTTTATTGAGTTATAGTCATTTTACAGTGTTGTGTGATCATCTTAAAACGTCTTGAAAGGGACACTTAGATCACTGATTTCAAGCCTGACCTTTTTTTTTCCCCAAAATATATTCAAGACTAAACATTTACCTCTTAAATTCAACTTTAACTGCAGTTTGTCGTATTTCTACATTTAGCCAATTCAGAATATTTAAAAACTGTCTTCTGTATTTCGTCCTTGACCTATGAGCTGTTTACCTAGCTTGCCTTTTCAGTAGGTACACAATTGTGCCTTACTGCATGGTAATTTTAATTATTATGTTTACTCTTAATTACTGAAGAAGATGAACATTTTCTGCATTTACCACCTTCAGTTCCACAGCTACGAATTCACATTTTTCTTCCTATTTACAAACCCTAGAGCCGTCAGAGTGATAGTTTAATTTGTGTAAATTCTTTAGAGTGTTTAAATATTAAGCCTTTGCGTACAAGCTACAGTATAAGTTATTTATCTTGTATTTTGTTTCTTATTTCACGGGAGTGGGTTTTAAAGAAACGTTTATAGCACCACCAGTCTTTTTTATGTTTTCCTCCATTGCTTCAAAAGAAAGTCTGACCGTAGAAGCATTTCCCCTTCTTTTGTAATACGTTTCTCATTTCTTACATCTAATAAATGTGACCCTCCGAAGTGATAAAGAAAGAAGGTGACAATTGCTGTCTGGCTTCTGTGTGTAAAGACACGGCAGGGATGTTTCTACATGAAGCAGAGTGTCTACTTGGCTGTGCCGAGGTGTTGCTGCTCACGTCCAGAAACATCACAGACATAACACACGTCACATTAACGCGCTAAACAACATAGCAACACAAATAACGAAACGCCAATTCTTTCACCTTGGAATTTAAAACAAATTTTTTTTATTGAGGTATACAGTTCATTTACAACGTTGCGTTCATTTCTGGTGCACAGCACCGTGCTGTCCTGGAATTTAATTCAACATTTAATCTTTATCTGCTTACACGAGACGGAGCCTAAGTTTAGTTCTTTGCATAGAGAGTGGGAGTCATGGTCCAAAAATGCTTCCTGTTCTTGGGTTCAGCTCCACGGACACAAAATGAGTGTAAAGTGTGCTCTGTACCCCGAGGGAGCGACAATGTTGCAGTCAACACCACTCAGAGACGCGGCGATGTCACACGGGTATTAGCAGAGAGGGAACTGTGTGGCGAGGGGTGAGTCTCCACGTAAGAGGTCACGTCCGACCGGGTTCCTGATGGACAGCTCAGCCCCAGAGGCGTGCGGGTGACCCAGACCTCAGCATTCGGTGTCATTGTCACTCCAGGTTCTGTGACAGTTCACACAGCACAGAGCTTGAATACTGCTGAAAACTTCGAGAAATTCATTTTTTTTTAAATCCTTCGATTTCTCCTTCTGGGTTTCTCAGTCAATGGTAAGGTTTTTCTGCTTTTGCAAAGACTGTCCATTTCATCCTGATTTAAAATCCAACGGTAGGTAGCTCGGCACAGGCACAGTATGCCTTCACTGTTCCCACTAGAAAAATTTACTTTTGATGCAGTTTAGTCCCCCCAGTTTCCATCTATCGGTGCAGAGAAGAAAGGTGTCTGTTCCTGCCGTTCAGACGGTGCGGCCGGGGCTCTGCGCACACACAGGCGGTGCAGGAAGGGATGGGGCAGGGCTGGGTCCCCAAGCCGCTTCCGAGTGGCGATGCGCTCCCGAGAACCTGCCAACGGCGGGCTGAAACAGCACCCGTGTGCTAGCGACTGGCCTGCCCGCCAGGAGTTTCTGGCCGTGCTTTGCCCTGGAGCAATGGGTTTGCTCCTCCTGGGCTCCTGGGGTTGGGTGGGACCAGAGGAGCAGGCTGGACCAACGGCTGTGTCAAAGGGTGCGTGTCATTTACTGCGGACGGGAGACCCTCGGGCCCTGCCTTGCCTCCCCGGCATCATTCAAGACAGGGCTGCACCTGCCAGGCCCGAGTCAGTCTTTGCTGTCACAGACGCTGAGACCGGGATTCCCTGCCACTTACAAGTGATCTGATGTGCCGTCTAATTCATTCAATCTGTTAATCTATTTCAGAAGTTGCCTGAGTGGGGAAAAGGGTTCTGCTACATAAAAATAAAACTGGGAACCACTAGATGAGACGTATCATCTTGTAGGGAAGAGGGAGGGGGAGAAGGAAGGTCTGTAGCAGGGACTTCTGTTCTGTTAGATTTCACAGAGAAATCAAACTTGGGGGCACAACACTGTAAAATGACTATAACTCAATAGAAAATGTTCAAAAAGTATGATAAATGCAAAACAAAACAAAACAAAACAAAACTTGGGGGGAAAAATCTGCGACTGTCCTAAGGCTTGGCAACTAATTTGCCAAATAAGAGAACACACACAGAGCCACAAACCAAAAGCGAACCACTGATCTACCACCGGACTGACACTATTTTATAAAATTAAGGCAATCTGAAGATGAATTGAAAAGGACAAATCTCAGGCGGAAGAATAAAGCTTTTGCCACGAGCACAGCTGGCTTCATGGGAAGTTTACTGCAGTGTCCTTGTCTGTTCTGTTCCGCCACGGACTGACGAGAGGATGTGTCTCCTCGAACTGTCACCACTGAGAGGGCTGGCTTTAGGGGACCACGAGCCCGGATGGTGGGGTCCAGAGAGGCCGTGAAGTTGGGCGTGAGCGAGCAGGCAGGTGGCATCACCGGACGGGACGGCTGGACACGCCTGAGCCTGCGCCCACATCCCACCTGGGGGGTCCCATGGGTGCCACCCGAGGGGCACGGAGTCCCAGCCGCCCCATCTTCTGCGACTCTCTCTCCACCTGCACTGGGTTGGGGGGGGGCGCCCGGCCCTGCTCCAGGCTCCCGGGAGGATCCCACAGGGTGACACAACATGGCAGCGAGCCTCGCCAGCGCATTGCCT